CCCTAGCTGTGCCAGCAGCACCGACTGTTCTTCCTTTCCATACCTTCACCTGTCCGTTGACGGCTAAGGACATACGTATGATTTCTCAGCGAAACGCGGCGAGGATATCATGCTCAACTCTCAAGTCGCCGTGGCTTCCAAATTCCGTGTATGCACCGCCCCCTCCGCCTAGCCCACATCTCAATATTGGTTATGTATCATCGGACTTCAATAATCATCCACTCGCGCACCTGTAAGTACTATGCCTATTAATAACGCGTCAATGGTTCTTGTTTCGTTAATTAACCACATACAGGATGCAATCGGTATTCGGATTTCACAACCCATCACGAGCGAAAGCTTTCTGTTACGCTACTACGGCGAGCGATAAATCGGTTCATCGGTTGCAAATAGAGCGTGAAGCCCCCGTATTTCGCGACGTGAGCAATTGGCCTTCAGAGAAGCTCGTGGAACAGATAGTCGAAGATGGGATCCATATTCTTGTCAACCTAAACGGCTATACCCGAGGCGCCAGGAACGAGATATTCGCAGCCCGACCGGCGCCAATACAAATGTCTTTCATGGGATTCGCAGGTACCCTTGGTGCTGAATGGTGTGATTACATCTTAGCCGATAGAACCGCCATTCCTCCATCTACACTACGACCTATGAGAAGCAACACAGACTTGGAGGATGTTTTTCGAGATGACGAGTTTGGCGACGAAGGTGAATGGATGTATTCCGAAAATATCGTCTTCTGCCGTGATACTTTCTTCTGCTGCGACCACGCGCAATCGTGCGACCCGGCTGAAAGGGGTTTGACTTGGGTAGATGAACAACGACGACGATGGAAAATGCGCAAGGAACTTTTTCCGAATCTCCCAGACGACACTATTATACTTGGTAATTTTAACCAGTTATATAAGGTATTTTCTTAATGCTAGTGACATATATCAGCCACGACTAACCGTATCATTTAGATCGACCCTTCCACGTTTCGCACGTGGTTGCGTATCCTCTCCAACGTCCCTAAAGCCATACTCTGGCTTCTCAGATTCCCCGAGCTCGGCGAGAACAACTTGAAGAAAACAGCTAGGGCTTGGGCCGGCGAGGAAGTGGCAAGCCGGATTGTCTTTACAGACGTGGCGCCGAAGCAGCAGCACATTTCGCGGGCACGTATCTGTGACCTGTTTCTGGACACGCCAGAGTGCAACGCGCACACAACGGCTGCAGACGTCTTATGGTCAAGCACCCCATTACTAACTCTACCGAGATATCCGTATAAGATGTGCTCTCGTATGGCAGCGTCGATTCTCAAAGGAGCATTGCCAAAGACACCTGCTGGGGATGAAGTTGCCCGGGAGCTTATTGCTTCCGGTGACTCTGACTACGAAGCGCTCGCAACTAGACTTGCAGGAAGCTTGACTTATCGGTACGTGGATGGAGAGTATTGCGAGGGGAACGGGCGACTGGCCGAGATGCGAAAGGTTTTTTTTGAGGCGAAGTGGAAATGTGCACTCTTCAATACACGGAGATGGGTGTCTGATTTAGAGTGGGCATACGAAGAAGCATGGCGACGTTGGGTGGCCGGGCAAAGTGGCGACATCTATCTACCTACAGAAGAATAGTGAGGTGTTTCCGGGATGGGGGTTACCTATAATACCCTTGTGTCTCACATTTGACGTGGACAGGAAATAAGCCCGGGGATATTCGGTACCGGCCAAGGATACTCATGGCATTGGATGTGGCACATGATATTCACATGTCGCCTATCTATGAGGGAGCATGGGAGTTCCGGTTAACATGAGAGGGAGACCCGAATGGACCATGTTGGGATTTCAAAAGGCCTGTGATTGCATTTTGAACCTGATCAGGCTGGCTTTGGACGAAGAACTCGAAGTTTCTATGATAGAGCAGGTAGCGGACTCGGACCAAGTGCTGGTAGGGTTACATTACCTTTGGGACAGAAATATGCAGTCGTTTCAGCAGCGACGGGCAGGGGCGTTTGGTATTGTGGCAGCGTGAATTTATTAGGCTATGCTGTCGATGGAATCATGTAAATATACCCAGAGCTGACGCCCCACGGGTGGGTAAAGCGAATTATGTTGCTCGGTTATGAGTTTCTTTTCGTCTTCTTCTTATTTTTATTTTATTTTTTATTTTTTATCTCTTTCATATTATCTTATCTTCTCCCTTCTTATCATTCATCTTGACCAAATGGAACAAAAAACAAAAATAGTCATTTTCGTTCTTACGTAGAATACCCCTTGGAATACCCCTAGACTGCTCACTGTTAAGATAGCGAGTGCATTAAAATCCGCGACAGGTGGCTTGATAAATCAAGGTTGAGGTTACGCAAAAGTAAGTCAGATGTACGTTGGCTAGGTATCTGTTGGATATTCGGGATACGATACCTACACACATCTACGTAAGGTATATACATATATACATATATATATATATGCATATATACAAGTTAAGTAGTCTCCGCAGTGTACAGGTAGGTATGTACCACTGTACCAGTCGATGGAAATGTGCCGACTCGTCCTAGCTCGTTACCTTTTGTTTCCTTGGTCTTGTGGGTGGGGGTGGATGGTTTCAGCCGGCGAAGAGAGAAGACGGGGTGCGGCTGAGGTATCTGTGGGTAAGTTTTTTTTTTCAACGGTCACGACGTCTTGAGCACTATCGGCCAAATAGTCAAGGGAGGTCCCCGCGAGCCAGAGATGATAAGTTCGCTTGGCCTTACCGGTTTGAGGCGACGAATGGGTCCAAGAGAATATAACTAACTAGATAAATCCATTTATTTATTAAGAATTAAAGTATTATAATTATATCCGTAGTGTTGGAGAGTTATTAAGAACTGACAAGAGAAAAAAAAAACCCTTACACACAGTAAGCATATCAATGTCCCCAAACAGGCTGAAGAACCCTGGTAAATGTCTTAGGTAGGCAAATGTTTAACTGTAAGTAAATATATTGTTCTTAGTTTCAGCCGGTGAAGATGAGATCCCAAGTCAATGGGTCGCTGGAGAAGTAAAGAAGCCACATATGCAGATCGTCACCCTAACGAACTTTAAACGGCCGGGGCCATGTTGATCGTTTTATAAAGTACCTATACTCGAGCTATATACAAAAGACTTACATACTACTTAGGTGTATAAGTATGGTACCAAGCAGGGGATAGAATACATAGACTGGGAATAGGTACCTGTCTGGGACCCCTTGTCGGATCTGGGGTTCGCATATACACTACATACATACATATATATATGGTATACTTATAATAATCAAGCCGTGTGGGTTGTGGTTCGAATATACCGGGGGGCGGTTCTTCACGAAACAAATCATCTTGGGTCTAAACCTCACTCGGCAGCTGGCATCTCAAATCGGAGATACCTACCTGAGCCTCGTGGTTCTCCACTAGCTACCTGTTAGTAACTAAGTTATCTATCTGTCTATCTAACTTGAAGTTTCGTCTAACCTGAACCTACAAACCGGTACGGCCCAAACCTAAACTTAATTATCGGATGATACGTCGTGGGCATCTTTAAGAGAACCTCTGCTGCTAATAGTATTGATATATGGTGGTACTAGCCTAGATGATGCTCACGAGCGAATAGATATGACATAAAAAAAAGTGAAAGAGGGAAGATGGGATTAAAAATGAAAAAAGCAAGGGGGAAAGGAAGCGAAGGCGTTGAACTTGTACGCAATTCCCCCCATCCCCCACTACGTTGGTCGCGGATATGGGGCAGCCCCTTATCCACGTATTGCGCATAATCTTTTTTGGCCTTGTCTACCTTGCCTATCTTACCTGGCTCTAGAGGCGGTGGCTGGACGTTTTCCTTTTTTTCCTTTTTTTTTTTTTTATAAGTCCTTCTAGACTTGCTTTTTTTCCCTCATCCTACCTCATATGCTTCACCTAGGAAGAAGAAGAAGAAGAAGAAAAAAAAGAAAAAGAAAAGCTAGGAGTTAAAGAATGCAGGTGGTACGAACCTTGAACCTTGGAAAGCACTTGTCCAGAACGAATCAGCTAGATTAGCAACTACGATACACATGCACATAACCTACATATAGGTAGGTACGAACACTTAGCTGACGAGAGGGCTGCTGAGAAGGCAGGAAGGATGTGGGTCTCTTAGAACTTACTTTAGAACTTACAGATCTACCTACCTACCTACATCCACCTGCAGCGTGCTACTACCGTTTATTAGGTATACAATACCTACTACCTACATATTCCTGCTCCTGCTCCTGCTCCTACTGCTACTGCTACCATTCGCTATTACCGGTGTTGCTACTACTATGTATTACTTTTACAGTTGTCAACGCTCATACTCGTACTCGCTCATGTACTCTCTCATGCTTAGCTTAGCTTCTCTTCTCAACTTAACTTAACTTGATCTTGTGCCATCTTCGTCCCCATCCCTCCCCCTTCATTCGTTCAACTCTACCCCCAATTTACATCTAAGCCTACAGCCAATATACATCCTCCATTCTATGTTCTGTGCTCCTATACTTTTTCTACCCTTTCCTATACCTACCTAGCATATATGCCTTATCTTGGTCTATGTCTGTTCCCTGCCCGATCTTACTCCATATGTTACTATTCGCCGTAGTCTAAGCCAGCTCTTCAACAACTTAAAACTACTTCGAAATTTCGACTATGTAAACTGCCTTTACGAGTAGTCGAAACCTGAATTTCCACTGAACGCGTGGCTGTAAATGAAGAACTAGAGTTCGAAGCTCTCAAGCCGCTTGGACGGTTAGGAATCATTAAAACGTTAACCGGGCGTAGCCATCACACGGGTTCAGTTATAACTGATAATATATAACCGGGATCGATGGCCAAACCCCTTTACAATTTGGTTATCACTTTCACTTGGATATCATCACTCTATATCGCACACATATTTCTCTGGGCCCGGTCTACCGAATCACTTACTTGTCCCCCCTGTCCCTCGCTTTTATATTGGTCCCATTACTTCCATACGTACCTATCGCCAAGCGACACCGTCATGATGTCGAGGCGCGGCCCCTGGACAAATCGCGAAGATGAGATGTTGAAGGAGATCGTCGAACAGCAAGGCGCCTTGAACTGGGTCAAAATTGCGCAGCGCGTTCAAACAAGGTCGCCAAAGCAGTGTAGGGAGCGCTATCATCAGAACCTAAAGCCCGGCCTCAACCATAGCCCTATTACACCTGAAGAGGGTATTTTAATAGAGAATTTGGTCCGCTCCAAGGGGAAACGTTGGGCTGAGATTGCCAGAGCTCTCAACAATCGAAGCGACAATGCGGTCAAGAACTGGTGGAACGGCGGTATGAACCGCCGGCAGCGTCTGATGCGTAGAGCAGCTGAAAACCACTACGCTAGGGTTCATGGTCAAAATACCCACGACGAGTCTACGCCGGAACTATCGCAGGTTCCAGCATCATACCACCGCCACGACACACATCACCTTCACTCACGCTCGGGCTACTCGAGCGGCTCACTCTACGGACACCACGAATACCACGAGCATCACGGACAGCACGGACAGCACGGACAGCACGGACATCACAGGCACCATGAATATGAACAGCATGCAATTATCAATGAGGCCACTAACTTATCGCGCCCGGCCTCTGCTTCTCCTTATCCTTCTACTTATCGTTCTGTAGATCCTTCTACATACGGTCCAACCTCACCATATAACTACCAAAGTCGCCGTGCCAGTTCATGGGAAAACTACTCCGAGTTCTCGGGGCTCCCATCGCCTTCCGCGTCTTCGACATCCCCTATTGAGCTTCCAGAGTCATCTACTCCTTTTCCTTGGATGTCGGATCATAGCTTGCCGTACCGCGATATACACGCTTCTAGCCACTCCCGAGAGACTCTCCCCGTACTACCTCCATTACGGGTTAGGGATTCGTCCTCGCCGTCGCATGAGATTCAAGCACCGAATCCCAGTCACGACTCGCAGCCAGCAAGGGAGGCTGTTCGTCTAAACCGGGTACAGCTACCGCATATTAATGAATGCTTCCCGGGAAGCTATGACTTACATGGTCGACGGCGCACGGCACCTGACACACCGCCACGTCATCCGGCACGACGCCCGGAACGACATAATTCGGGCTCGGGATCTCCATCCTCACAGCGCGTATCACCACGCTTACAGCGCCGATCTCCATTATTACAACGCAGATCTCCACACCTACAGCGTCGATCCCCGCCATCACAGCTTAAAGACAAACACCGCGCCGTGGACCCTAGGATGGATTTAAACTTCCTGACTCATTAAGTGTGCGAGGGTCTATCAAAGTGCCGTTGGATTCATGAATTACGAAGGAACACCCCCCCCCCCCCAAAAGAGAGTCATCAAGAGGTCGTTGTACTGGAAAACAGGATAAATGACCTACTTGGTGTCTATTTCATGTCGGTATTTGACGATATATATTTACTAATACAAACCGACGAAGACCCCCAGTCACCGGGATAGCTGGGATGTTTGGAGTTAGAAAGCGATGGGATTCAAATGTGGTTTCTTGTATACTGCAATTTCTCATGAGGGTTGAGTATCTACCTGATGAATAGAGTAGGGAATGCCGGAGATTACATGGAACGTGTTGGCGCTCAATGTACGAGATTGACATACGGATTAAGGAAACGGAGAAGGCTCCATGTTCTCTGTCAATTCAGACCATATGATGAATCTAGCTTGGCACTACTACAAGATGAATTAATAAAGCATTATTCTCTTATTTATTCTAGCCTTCTTGTCAACTTAGAGTTGTGTGAATAGGACTAACCGTGTACCAACAGCCGGATATGATGGGCTAGGTGGAACGATCCCTTCCCCCCTTCGTGGGGAGCAAAATTATCCTTCAACGGCGGCCGATATGGCGTGGTCCCTAATACTCTTGGTTCGCGAGTAGAAAGTAGCCGACAGGACTCGACAATGCTGTGGAACGCACCGAGTCTAGAAAAGGAGAGGCCACTATGGCTCTAACGATGGAAGTTATTGTTCCATCCCGATGCCCCCCCTCGAGACCAACAGCGAAGCGGACGTTATAGAACGGTTTCAGGGTTTACCCCTATTCAAAAGTACCCGCCGGGGAAAGTGTCACAAGGGGAGAGCAGTTATTGGTAAACCAATAATGATAATATAAACGTTGCCGAACGAGCCGGTACAACAAGGGAGGGGGGAGGAGACACGCACACACACCCCCGGTCTAGTCCGGGTAGTGCAGATCTCTGATCCTGCTGCATATGTACGCTGCTGCGCTTTGCTACTCTATCTTCTGTTGGCTTTTGGCGCGGCATGAGCTAGGTTTTGAACCCCGAAGTTGGGATGGGATGGGGTTGGTATTGAGCGTTGTAACGATGGGGAAAAAAAAAAGGAATAAGAATGGATAATATACCATTAGGATCCGGGATAGGGTAAGTATGAGGTATGTATGTATGTATGTACATACGTATGTCTGCACATATATTGAGCGTGGTATAATCGTGGATGTCTATTGAGCCACATACCGGTTTCTAGTATTATTTACGAAATGCCCTTGCATTATTAAACACCCAAAATTTGCCAGTACCTACCTTATACAACAATACCGTTCGTCAATACATGGTTGTTTCTGCATCCTACCCACGCGCCAATTACCACCCCCTCGCTCTCCCCTCTCACACTCGCCGTTGGCGTTTGTCAGCACATAACCTACTTGGCGAGCAACGGCCGCCATGCAGCCCCTGAGGGCTGTAAGAGAAGTATATATATATATATTAAGGGGCTTTTCTTTTTAACGGCAGAGGAATATATATATGTACGCCCCTGATCTTGCTTCTGCTCGATTTTTGTCCGATAAATTGGACGTGGTCACAGGGTAATAAGGACCTACATGTCTTCCTGCGCACATGTAAGGCTACCTAGCTCTACGAGTATGTGTATACGTGTGTATGTGCGTGGTGTATTATACACGTATGATAAGCCCCATGCGGCCAGCCGCTCCCTTGCAGACCGCTCCAGCTTTAGCTCCAGAGCGGGAAGATGGAGGGTTACGTTCATATATGTCTCTTCCTTTTTATTATTATTATTAATTACCTATTCTGCTTGAAGGCAAGAGAAGGCGAGGCAAGTTTAAACTCACTTACCTGGCCGGGATGGGCCCCGTATCACGGGGTGCTGGATACCGTATGTCTACCTGATGTACACCGCAAATTAACCGCGCGACAGGGACATGGGGATGAAATATATGGCACTATCTATTCAATAATGGGGATTGGAGATGGCGGAAAGATCCTTTGTGTTTGTGCGTCTTTCTCCGGTTACCTCCCGGCTCAGTGGAATCCCGACCGTTTGACTGTTGGAAGGGGAGTGTTACCGGCAGCATGGTACTGGTGAGTTGGTGCAGGGATCTTTTTCCTTTTCTTTCTTAATACCGGTAGTTTATTTTATTTTATATTCGTTTTACTGCATGCATATGCTGACTTCATATCATACAGATCATTTATCGTACGTACGTGACGAGACAGCCATGCGAGGTCGAGATAGATTAGCGACCAGGGGTTTGATTGGGTTTGGCTGGGCCTGATCCGCGGTGCTGCTGCTGCTGCTGCTGCTGTCGGTACTTGGGTAGATATATAAATATATATATTTATTATATTTGTTCTTATTAATTCTTACTGCCTACTATTTATACTCTATACTTTATATAACTACATATAACCACCTAACTTTATAAGTACATATAATCAAGTAGTTATACGTACATATATTTATACTTATGTACTTTATCATAAATACTCCCAGGTCGCCGATGAGATGCAAGATCCGCATGGTAGAGATTGTGCTACATATCATGCTGTCGGGGGCGCGATATATTGGATTTGTGATATTACGGCGTGGCCTGCCGCTCGCTGTTTCTTTCACTTGCCCTGCGAAGCACGTTAGCTTAGCTCCGTGCGGACATACCGTCCCGAGACAAAGGAGAATCCGCTGAAGAGACTAATTACTAATATATAGCAGTTAATAAAAATAACAAATAACAGTAATAATAAAAACAGGAGGAACGAAAAGACAAAATAACAGAAGCAATAAAAATAATAGAAATAATAGAAAAAGGAGGTACTCGCTTTCTCCGATCTCCGCAGGGTACACAGGCCCGGAGATCTGGGTCAACGCGCTCGGTTATCGAGAACCGAACCTTAAGTTATGTATCCCCGTCCAACGCATCCATCCATACCCCATGCTGCCCCCATGTCCATGCGTAACCCAATTAATCCTTGGCACCGGCATCGTCATCATTTATCATCATCATCATCGTTAGTTTCCAACGAACGGGGAAAACGTTATTACGGATATAAGCTTAACTTTCACCACCCCCCTTTCATCACCCCCCTTTTTTAAAAAAGTAAAATGTCAAGTTTTTATTATTATTATTAAAATTTACGGAAAGACAAAAACTAACAAGGTTTATTAAACTAGTTATTAGTTAAATTTGTATAATAAAACCTAACTTTTAAAAATAAGCTTAAACCCATACATACATACAACATAACACAAGTCAAACACTGACACCGTGCTAGAGCACAAAACTCGGGAAAAACCGGCCGACGTTGACAATATCTACATCTTCTAAATATACATCTCTCTTTCTAACTATCTATCTGTGCCGTCCCTGTCCCTGCACATTACAGCACATCATCATCGGGAGCTACTCCGTCCAATAATACATGTGCTCGGATCCCTCTTGACCCTGAAGATCTGAGATCTACTTTCCACCTGATGATATACGTACAGTGCATTATCATTTCTACTTGCCTCGCCGACTCTTCAGTTTTTTCGGCCGAAATCCTATAGCGAGGCTTCAAGCCTGGCACACATAGAAGCCCAATGCGGGTTATGTTGGCAATTAGTCAGAGGAGGCGTTTAATCCAGACATTGTAGGATTACGGGACGGCTTTTTGAAATTATATGTGTAAGAAAAACAAACAAACAAACGGACTGCTTATAGATCGAGCCTTTTCTTTTCTTGTACAGTATCAGCTTAGAGCCTCGCGAGCACGAATTCGATAGGTATCGCCAACAGATGGATCCCTCGAAGATTAAATCAACCGTCTAAGAATCACCGCATAAACGTTACCTACTCCATCCTTTCTACATGTATTGATGATACACTACTTAACGCCTCGTACATTATTATGACATTGGTTCCTGGTCTTGTTCGTGCTCGTTGCCTTGCTATACTCACTGCTTTCACCCCCCGGCGTTGGCGAGAGTGTTGCACGCCTACTAGTTAACTCAAATCCTGAACTAGGACTCCGGACCCTGTTTCTATCGAGTGACGTTGGTAATGCTATTGGTACCCTTGGAGAATCGAAGTAAGCAGCCACCGATGGGCTCCCTGTAGCTGCTTGAATTACTGTGTCTAGACTGCTCGTACATGAACTTCGCGAGCAGCTCTTTTCCGCGGCTGATGACCACCGGTCTTCCAAAGACTCCGGGGAGCTAGACAAATCGCACACCGGCCCTTCGCTTATCTCCTTGGCTGAGTTCTCTTTCATGTCTTTAAACCTAGGCTTCCATAGCTCCGCATCTTTATCCACGTTTCTCCTAGGAGAGGCCCCTGCTAGAAGTTTATTGCCAGAGCCGCCACTCGTGAGAACATGAGATACGTCGTCTCCAGGCACAAACGAGAACCCAGATAGACATCGTAGGCGTCTTTCGTCGAGGTTGAGACCTACATCCTTGGGCACATCATCGAGCCCACAACCGCTCGGATGCCGGTGAACGTCCTCCGAGCGAAAAGAGGCGTCGTCGCTGCTGCCACCGAGAGGTTCCTCGCAGTCCTCGCAGTCCAGTAAGTTCTCTAATATCTGCCGCCTAGCTTGCTTTCTGCGCCACCCGGAGGGTTCTATCCCTGTTCCTATTCTGCCATCTATCTCAGATGCGTCGGATACATCATCCGAGAATAGTGGCTTTGGCTTTGGCTTTGGCGTTATTTGACCGGTAGAAACTGTGGGTTCCACTAATTCTTTCTCTGGCTTAGACGAATCCTCACTCGCTCCTGAGGTCACTGCTGTCTCATATCGTCGACGCCTACTTTTAGAGCGAATCATGCTAGCATTTATGACAGTATCATGTCGCCGTATCCTCTCGCTCATGAGGAAGTCACTATTACTGTCGAGTACTTTTGGTACAGGCTTGGTCTCATATTTGTCTATGTCTCTAGGTACGTCAAGAGACGCCTCTACACATGTATATGTAAGATATTTCTGTTGAGAAGAGGGGTACTAGGTGGACAGCTGATGTACTTACCTTGCATGGTTTGCGTGCTGAGGCGCTTCAATTTAGAGACAAATTGCTTAGCCTGAGGACCATTCCTATCAACGACACTGTTCGTCCTGGCTAGCGTCACTGCTTCTAGACCATCACTGGACGTCCTTGACAACAGTACTTCAAGCCGTTTGATCTCAGCTTTATACTGACTCTCGCGTTCCAGCCATTCGTCGGCTACGGATTTGAAATGCTCCAGGTGATACTCAAGCGAGTGCCTAGCTTCGTTGTAAGCGGCATCGATGGTCTGAATCTTCTCCTGAGCGTTGGCGAATCCTTCGATCAGGTGTAGGATATACGAGTTATACTCGATGGGAATGGGTTGTAGCGCTCCCTGGGTCATGAGAACGACCTGGAGCGCCTCGACCATCTGGTCTAGAGAGGGATTATACCATATTTTATCCTGTTCGCGGATAAACAAACTAGCAACACTGCTACCAGTCAATGGCTCGTGCGATGAGTGGCTGGTTAGACTTAAGTTGCTGGCGGCCCGTCTCGGCGTGCGCTCAGGGGACGTTGGCGTTCGGGGGATGCTAGGAGTACGAGAACGCTGCCCGAGCCGAAGCCAGCTGAAGTCGGTCATGTTGCAGACGTCTCTCTAGGTCCAATATTAAATATACAACGTAACGTATAATGATTGACTGAGGGGCACTGACCTAGATTATATGCTATGGCAAGAAGAGTTGGGTGCAGCTTTTAGGGAAACAGGAGAACATGGGAACAGGGGAACAGGATTAGATAGCTGAGAACAACATGCGGGTGGAAGGCAACGATGCAAAAGGGATAAAGTGAATTGGTTGGAAAGGGGACAAACTTTTGACGGTTTAGTTGGTTTAGGTAGATTTATTCCTTCAATTGGGGGAAGTCACAGTCGACTGTGACAATGACTGTAACAATCAACCATTCCTGGCAGCTACGTGACTTCCCATCATACATGTACCTATGACGCGCCTGAAGGGCAGGTACATACGTTAGGCACGTGTATTTTATCCATCTATATCTACGCTCGCATATTAAAACATCAGACTACTATCCTCTTAACTAATGCATTCGCCGAATGATACTATATATGTAACCATCTACCTAATGTTACAAGGCCAACGCTTTTCTCATATACGCCTGTCACCGTAGTATCCATCCTAGAATCCATATCGCATATGTGCGTCTATCAGTCAAATAAGTCTCCAGCTCTCTGCCGCTGCCGCTGTCTTGACCTTCCCTCGAGTCTATCAGCGAAGAGCTCCTTTCCGGAATTCGCCCCCAGTTTTTCGGGGAATAGTTCCTTCGCTGACTTGCCTGCACTGCCCTTAATTGCGAACCCTTGATTGGCGCTCCTCTGGCTTGCTGTCCCACGAATATTGAAGCCAGAGTCCCTAGCCTCCTCTACAGTCGTAATCCTGTCTGCCAGTTTACTCTTTCCCGGAACGGTAATCCTATCCTCGAGCCTACGCCCTGACGTTGCCCGTGTATCGTTTCTCTCGTCCATCAGAGGTAGCATGATCCCCTTGGCTAGTAAAGTAGTTGTATCTTCCATTTCATCCCCGAGCCGCCCGGATCCTTCTCCTGACTTGTCTGGGAAAAGCTCCCTAGCCCTATTGCTACGCGACATGCGGCTCTTGATTGCACGTGCTTTGTCACGATTTCGAGCTGCCAACCCGTCACTCTCAATGTCATCCATTGCCTGATCGCTATCTCGACCACGGGGTGAAGCTGACCGCCTTCGCTGAGGCTCGTTGTGGCCGCCAGAACTGCCAGGAAATAGCTCTTTGCCGCGATTGTCGGGACGATACGAATCCCTTCTATATCCCTCTTCGCTCGTAGTTGGTGTGTACGACCGCCTGCGCCGAGGTCGCGAGTACGATGCGCGACGAGATAAGGCGGCTTCGTCATCGTCATATAGGTTGACATCGAACTGCTCCTCGGTCTCCCGGTTTCGGGTTTCCCTTGTTCGCCTACGGTTATACCCCTCGCCATCCCGGTCACGGTACCTCCGCGCCTCGTTGCGCCGTCGCCGTTCTTCTGGGTCATATTCGGGGTTCAGAAGATAGAAGCGGCTCCTCGAAGCAGCGCCGACTTGCTTCTTATCAGATGCGACAGCTAACCGGACTTGTAACATGACCTCTGGCCTCTTTGAGAAAGGCTTGGCAGATAAGAGTTGCCGTAAGGGAAGTTGAGAAACGTCATATATGTCCTGAGCTGCTAAGGAGCTGAGAGCGCGCGACGCGGCCGATTCGGAAGCAAATAACAAGTTGGCTGAGGAATCGTCTATCCACTCTATTCTCTCTATTGGTTCCTCTGGGAAGTGTTCGGCGACATAAGTCTTGACCTCTTCGGGATTCATGACATCGAGACCTCTGATATAGACTTTGACGGGTATGGGAGTATCGTCATCTACTATTTCCCCGGGTGAGCGATTGCCCTAGAAAGACATTTGTTAGCATTTTATTTCGCCTCGCCTAGCGTATGTTACGGCGTTACGGTAGTTGAGCATACAGGTGCGTCTTGAAACTCTGGTTCGGGAATTATAGGCTCGTCAGGCACGAGGTCGATATCCACATCCATCTCCATGTCGAGATCCATAGTGTCCATCGTGTCTAGTATCTACCTGCCAAGGCGCGTTTTTGACGGAAAGGGCTGAGTCGCGGGGAAACTGGTCGAGTGGAATCGTTGAATCCAAAGGTGCAAGGCGCGCCGAAAAGAAGGAGTGGTCAAAACAAGTTGAGGAAACACCCAGCACCTTCAAGCTATGGCTTTGATATCAGCTGGAGGGTATATTGATGCGATGCGATCGTGGCTAACGGATAATGGATAATGTATGCAATTAGGTGAATATTGTAGACTGAAGCTTCGAATCATTGAACGAAGTAGATATAATATGGACGGGAGGGGGTAGGAAGGAGGTATGTAAGTGCGCAGTATATGCAAGGGGAAATATATCTGCACTGCCTTCGCTCTTATGTATTTAGTACGTTCAAGTTATCCAATGTAATTTGTGATGAAGTTGAAGCTTTGAAGGAGGTAGCTTGGTACTTAGGTACCTTGACCATTTTAGACGTTGCAGAAGCCTTAGCTGACTAACCCCCACATCCAGGTGGGTCTTTTCTCTATTATTAACCCCTAGTTAGTACCTTTGTATATGCTCTTTCTTCTCTTGTGTCTCATTTGCAGCAAAGGCTACCTACGCACATACGCACATTACAAACATGCAGTTTATACGTAATATTTCAGATATATGAAGCAAATAAGTTGGAGAAACTAAAATTTAATAATATAACGAACGATGAGTATTACCTCCTCTCCCTTTCTTCTTCAACTGCAAATAAATCTCTAAGGCTCGGCTTACCCAAAGGACCATCGTTCGGATACGTTCCAAATCATTGAATACATATATGTGCATGCAACGTGTTGACTAACACTGTATATGTAAGCCGCAGGCTGTCCGGTTTCATGTGGCTTGGGCCATAACGGTTGGGCCACTGGACTTTTTCTTTCCCTTTCTTCTTTCCTCTTCTTGTCGACAATCTTGACCGCTGTTTGTTGACATTCCGCTCTGCCCGGTTGTAGAATTCGTACCTCTGTCTTACACTTACTGTTTAAAAACATGTAGATAGTTGAGACTCCCAATTTGCTGCTGCTTAAAACTTTCTACTAGGCCATCACGTCCTCTCTCTCGAAAAATAAAATAAAATATTCGTCATCATCACCGTCCTCTTTCATATCCGCCGTGTGGATATGCAAACTATTCGATCAGAATGATAAGGAACATTCATCAGCCTAGAGCACATATGCCTCCTTCAGTTGTTTGTAGGCGAATAGGTGAATAGGGGCGAAAGGAGTGAGAATAATTAAACTTGTAGGAATCCATTAGTATTCCTTCCCTGTCGTCTGTCTGCGGCCCGTCTCCTAGGGAAAAGGGAAAAAGAAAACGCCCTCCCATGTCTATATGCACTTCGTCGTGCTTCTATATGGTATATCCAACCCCCAAATCTAAACCGTCTCCACACCCTGTCTACGAACTTCCATAGGTGTTCGCATACATGTTCGTGGTAATTTTTGCCGCGAACTGTCGTTTACTTCGTTTGCCGACATTGAACCCATACTCGGTGTCCGAGACATCTCTGATGCTGTCCTTTTTAAAGAGGGTAGAGGTGGTACAATCTCCCCTGCCGACCTCCCATCTTCTACCTCGCCGTTGAAATCCTCGAAGTTGTCGTTCGGGTCAAGTAGCGGATCGTAGGCCCAGCATTCCTCAAGACCATCTAGATAGCACGGCGATCGCCTTAGGAAATGCCACGAGAAGGTATCCGACTGCATTGCAATGTACATGGACTCTACCTTACCATTTGGCAAGCAAACGGCGCAATACTTGCGTAGAAAATCGAGGTCATAGCTCCCGCCGACTAAATCTGGGTCTAGGGGCTTGAGCATCGGAAGTCCCTGCAATGTTGCGGCGTCACAGAGCCGGGCTTGTAGCGGAACCCACTCTCTACCTCGGAGGAGTCTTCCAAATGCCTTGGACACGGCTTTAGCGAAGGACTCGCCATCTGTTCCTCCGACTGCGATCATTTGGTGAAGCCCACGAGATAGACATCGCTTATACGCATTTGTGTCCTTCTCGAAAGGGAACGGCTGTGAGGCTGTTGGGAGAAGCGATATGTGCACGGTCCAGGACCCCGTCACCTCTACTGGGCTATCGGCAGACCCGCGGCGAGAGCCCGAGACTGAAGTTGAGGTGGATCGCGCTGTATCATGATTATTTAATGGGCGGGACCGGCGTGCTACGTTGAAGTTCACCGAGTCTTCTGAGCCTGATGTAGATCTTCGTCGACGCCTACGGAATGGGATTCGTTGGCAGTCCTCTTCCTCTAATGCATCTACGCGGTCTTCAAGAACCATGGATGCTTCATCAAACTCCATCAGCCTGTCGCCTAAGCCCTGTAGGGTGTCATCATGGCCATCCAACCGTTCATCAAACATAAGGAGGCGGTCTTCGTATACTGTTTGCCGCTTTTCAAGCTGGGTGACTGACTGCCACATACGGTCAACATTTTTATAGCAACCTTTCATCTCTTGATTGGTCTCGTCTCTATTCTTCTCGACCTGTTCCTCCAAGTCTCCCAGGCGCCGAACCACACTACCCAACGCACCGCCCAGTCCTCCGTCGTTTTCTCGGTCAAGCTGGTCCTCGAGTAATTTGATACGCCGGCGAAGTATGTCAACTTCATTTTTATTTGGGGGTGGTTCGGCAGACTGGATGTGGTAACACGAGAGGTGACCACAGTCGCAGGTGACGCCTGGGAGAGTCCGGTTGATGGTGAAGCCGACACAGGCACAACGCTGCCCCTTGATCTCCGGGTTCAGCAGAATGTACCGGCACTGTCCGCTAGGAAGTTTATTCTCATCGACAAGTTGATTAGAAGCCACGGGCTCCACCCGCGGTGACTGCGAAGAAGGTTCAGACATGGTCCTTTATTTCAGCTACAAAGCAACAAATCCAATCCTGGGCCGGAGGACGCCTTCAGAATACGAGGCCTCGCCTTGAGGTCACCCAAGCACGGGTACCCAACGTTATGTTGTGCACGAGCGAAAGAGCACACACCCCGAAGCCAGTTAATGTTATCGGACGCAACGCGCGAAGTCCAGAAGCGAGACGGCGGAGTTTACTTGGTCCATGGAACGGCTTGAAATACCTATACACCAGATTCCCGGCGGGTAGGAATGGGTTTGCTCACGACCGTGGGAAACCCGTGTTTCTTTTCTTTGGTTTCCTAGACCGGAAGATAATGGGGTGTTGAGAAGGGAAGTACACTAGGAGGAATCCTAAGGTGATATAATAAGGATATGACTTGGTGGTATGCTGGTGGATGAGACCGGGTCCCACAGTCCGTTATCAAACTACCCACGGCGCTCGAGGCCAGGAACCAGCTAGTAACTAGTAGAGGCCGATGTAGGTATGCTTCTAGGGTGTAACGAAAGACGCCGCAGCAAAACACAGACGTACTGGCTGACGGCAGATAACAAGTACAGGATATGTATTGGATCACCAGGGAAGATGATGTGTCTAATGGATAAAAAGAAGTTGACGCAAGAAAGAGACAGAAAGAGTACTTTTGGGGACGAGTGTACAAAATGCGTGGACGGATGTGTTCGAGTGGGATCCGCTGCAGATAAACCGATAGGCTAGAAGGGGGTCCGAGTTATCAGATACCGCACAAGGATTGCGAAGACCCGGCACAGTTCGGATCGCCAGTCCTGATTCTTTTTTTCCACCACTTGTTATAATAATAATTATTGCTATTATATCAGATGGACGAGGGATGGGGGTGGTGGCCCAACCGCGGGCAGTTGTTATTGGAAGTCTGACATAAATACAGAATTGCTCATGATGATCAGGTCTTTGCCAACTTGCGAAGTTTTGAGTAGGCCCGAATCGGAAGATGTAAGTAAGTAGTGTAGTGTAGTGTAGTGTATTGAGTATTTTGCGGGAGAATATCTGGGGGAGCCTATGTAGTAGGCTAGTAGTAGGCTAGGAGAGAGAAGAGAGCGAGGGATTGGAAGGGGGGAGGAGAATGCATTACTCTATTGCGACCGGGAAGGCGACACCACATCCTAGGTAAGTACAATGGCCTACCCGCCTACCGTCTACCTTTCCAACCTATATAGGGTAGGTGTATTGTAAGTATACTAACCCACTGCGTACATAATGTAGTACTTAGGTACAGCGACGGTGTTGAGATTTGACATGTGCAGCAAAAGGGGGGGTTCCGTCTTAAGACAACATTCAAAATATACCTAAGGTAAAATATAAAATGGCCCGCAGTTCCTTACTGCAACTTTAATCAACTATTAGAGGTTTTTTCTGATTGCCATCCCTGCCGCCCAAGTAGGTTGGTGCTTCAGCGTTTTACTGCAGGTGGAAGTGTGGAAGAGGAAGCATGTAAAAGCCACAATGCCACATGGATTTGCCGCAGGGCCTTGTTTAGATTTAGAGAGAGAACGGGGCCAGTGGAGACTATCTCTTGTGACATCTCATGTGTGGGGGTCCTTTCCCCAAGCCGATAAGGAGAAGACGGGAGGGCGAGAACGTCTTGGGTATCGGCTATTGGTCCGGTTGTTCCCACTGTTCCCACTCGGGGTTGTCCCCCCACACTCTTTTTCTACGAAATACTATGCCAGATAGGTACTTACATGTATGTATATACCTTACCGTACATAGGGGGGTTTACTAAACGGTATATATACCGCATATATACCATTCAAAAAATTGAACCGCTCTAATACCTGAAGGGAAAGGTTCTAGTTTAAATTTTAGTACGTTAAGCCTAATTGAGCAGTTCAAAAAAGTATAAACGTGCTAAAATAAGAACCGCTAAGCTAAATTAAGCCGCTTATATAATAAAGACGCTCAAATCAGATTGAGCCGTATTACTACGGCTCATTATGACTGAGCCGCTCAAAAGTCTGAACGGCTCAAAATTTCGAGCGGCTCATATGGTATATAGGCATATGCGGCAAAAGGGAGGTACAGCACCATACTAATTGTATGGTACTGTACTTTCATCTTTTACTTATTGCATATTTATTTTTACTTTAATGTTACAGCTATTGCTACGAGGTTCAAGTCACAGGATTTAATTATTTTAATTGGTCAAGCTACAGGCATCATTCAAATAGACCAATAGACATAAGCAGTCACGTTACGCGCACGTACATGGTATTCTTAGTATGGTATATATGTATTTAACAGGGCAGGTGCGCACACACCACCCACACCACCCACACCACACATACCACATACAAGGCCACATACAAGGCCACACATACTGAATCAATTGAGTCTATTCAATTGAGTCTATTCAATTGAATCTAATCAATTGAATCTAATCAATCGTGTCTAATCAATTACATCTATTAGGTACGTTGTATGTGTATTGCGCTGTACGTATACGGCTCATATGATTGGACCGTTCAAATCTCTGAGCGGTTCAATTTTTTGAACGGCTCATTCTGATTGAGCGGTATCTATACCGCTCATTGAATTAAGCGGTATATGTATGGCTCTAAAAGGTATACGTTTTAAATTTTTAGCACGTGCGGCGGGGGAGCGGTATATATACTATTCAATTAAATGAACTGTTCAAACAGGGATACGTAAATAAATTTAAGCCTCTATTAAGTTAAACAGTATATGTATGGCTCAGGATATTGAGCTGAATATATACCGTTTAGTCAACCCCCCCCAAGACGGTAAGGTACGTACATACTGGTAGGTGGTACCATAGTATATCCAAATGCAACCGCAACCCATGTCTACAACGTCTTGATGCTGTCTTACTAGTGTATAGTACGTATAAGTGGCCTCGGCCGTCACAGGCCAGCTCATACTTTAGGTATAGTGCTTGAGTATCTAACCATATATATGTATGAGTGAAAAGTGATGAAACCGACCGGTGAGTACGTAATCCGCCTAGTCCCTCTACCGACTTATAAGATGTGTCTATTATACCCTTCCTCGTATGTATATTAGGTAGATGTGCACATGGTACCATTTAGACTACCATGTAAGGGATTTATTTTCACTTTGGGTCGATCTACAGATTGAAATGCCTATAGGTGCAGGCGTATAGATACGAAAGGACCGGTGCGTTTATGGCGTGCATCAAATGCAATCAGATGCATCAAATCTGCGCAACAGGCGGACACGATGACCAAAATCGGCGGGTATCTTACCCAAGCGACCGTCACCCTGCGAGCCTCGAAGTAAGAGGGTGAGCGAGATTCGGGAGATATACCAAGACCGCAATAAACTGCAATACTGCAATACTACAGGACGATGTCAGCAAGCAGCAAGCAACAAAGTACATAATAATTAGAGGTCAATTGTCAACGTTGAAGTCCACGTTGTACAAGTGGTAATACATACATTACATGCTTAGGATGATTAGGCGAGGTTCATAAGTGGTTATGATTGGATGATAATTGTTAATTGTATTATGAGAATGTACGACTTCGTACTATGTAAAGGCTTCGTACTATCGGAGCCCCACAAAAGCTATGAAATCTCGCTGTCTCGGTACAAAGGGGGATGACGGGATGGTGCAATAAATAGACTAATCCGTCGAATCTGTTGCGTAATAATGTCTCAATCCGTTGATCGTATGTATGCGGGCGGTAGATCAAGGTTAAAATAGGAATACTGTACTTGGACCATAAATCTTTATAGACCGATCAAGTATGTAGATATAATACGTGAGTTGCTATACTATACCTATACGAAACCTACCGTAGTAGGTTATATCAAAAAAGAGGGGGCCAGCAAGGTAGGCATATCATAATCGAACGTACATATGAAGATACATATATGTGTGTATTATTGCGCATGTCTGGATGTCTGGATGTCTGGATATCTGGTTGCTTGGATGCTTGGATGCTTGGATGATGCATCGAGCTGTAAGCAACCTTACAATCTGCGCATACATACAACACACATACCCTACATACAATGATACGCGCTCCCCCCACGCCGTAGATATTCCCGCTCGACAAGGGTTACCCTCCAGCGTTTCGTCCTTCTTGGGTATATTTATTTATCTTGCTCACCTCACCTCGAGCAGACAAACCTCCGATATCAACAAAGCCCAATGGGGGGCGAATGAAGCGTTGGACAAACTCTCAGCTCTCCTGGATACCTTTTGATAAGCTACCATTTCACCTTCCAATGCCAATCCTCAAACCAGCTCGGAGTCGCGTGCCGCAGATATTTGTGAGATCTACTCTTGGGATTGCATCACTGTGGTTCCTATCTGCACGAAGGTGACAATACGATTGCGTATCCTAGTGCTCATGCGCTACTTTTGAGTTGACCGCCCCGTCTCATTGCGGCATCGAAGAGAGAATGGCATCGTCACCATCCACTATGAGGGAAAGAGTCAATATTCGCTTAGTCGGATTTGAAGCCTTGTGCTGCCGTCTGATACTACTACGTCCATGAGCTCGAAACAAGGCTAGTGGAATATTCGTCTCGACGGCCGCTTGAAGCGATCCATAACTTATCGCCATCATCAGCATTAGAGCTAAGGCAAACAGAGGTCTAGTAAGGTTAAGTTACGACCAATTACAAGGTAATACGTCGGCATGCATGAGCTTTAAAAAGGTGGGCGAAGATTAGAAAAGGCGAAGAGAAATCATATCTATGCCCCCGTTTGGCTATGTTTCTTTGAGCGAGAAGGAGAGTTGCACAGCATACAACTAAGCATATTTAAGTATCCATATCGTTTATAGCGCTTATGGGTCCTTGTTGGAAAAGAGTAATAAAAAGGCGAGGCAGAATATGGTATTAATCTGCTTACCTTAGGTAGGTAAGGTAAAGGTAGCTAAGGTAGTTACAATATGGAAAAGTCTTGGACGTTTACCAAAAATCGGAAGATGCCTTGGCTGATAAGATAAGATAAATACCCTAGCGTGTAGGTATGTATTTTCTATCCCACAAATTATAGTTGAGGCCATCAGAACAGCGTCAAAATAGATGACCCATTTAATTTCTTAACTTTAATCCTTTGTTTTAACTTGAATAACTTTACCAACTTTTATAAAATTTAAATAAAATTTACACAATATAATATTTAATCAATTTAGTTTAATGTAATATTTTTCAATATTTTTTTCCTTTTGATTCGGTTGAAAAATTGTATTGTCAAATGTGTGTGTA